GAGCTGGGGAGGGATAGCAGGGGGAGAAATGCCAGATGTAGGTGATGGGGAGGAAGGCAGCAAATCACACTGCCACGTGTGTTCCTATGCAACAATTTTGCATGTTCTTCGCATGTACCCCAAAACCTAAAATGCAATAAAATAAATAAATGGGAAAAAAAAATAGCAGTTGGTACTAATAAGTTGCCCAAGTAACAGTTAATAGAAATGTTGTCTCTTGCCGGGCATGGTGGCTCAAGCCTGTAATCCCAGCACTTTGGGAGGCCGAGGCGGGTGGATCACGAGGTCAAGAGATCGAGACCATCCTGGTCAACATGGTGAAACCCCGTCTCTACTAAAAATACAAAACATTAGCTGGGCATGTGGCGCGTGCCTGTAATCCCAGCTACTCAGGAGGTTGAAGCAGGAGAATATTCTGAACCCAGGAGGCGGAGGTTGCGGTGAGCTGAGATCGCACCATTGCACTCCAGCCTGGGTGACAAGAGCGAAACTCCGTCTCAAAAAAAAAAAATGTTGTTTCTTTCTTTTTTTCTTTTTTTTTGAGACAGAGTCTCACACTGTTGCCCAGGCTGGAGTGCAGTGACACGGCTCACTGCAACATCCACCTCCTGGGTTCAAGTGATTCTCCTGCCTCAGTCTCCCAAGTAGCTGGGACTACAGGTGCCCACCACCATGCCCAGCTAATTTTTGTATTTTTAGTAGAAACAGGGCCTCACCATACTGGCCAGGCTGGTCTCAAACTCCTGATTGTGACCTGCCCGCCTTGGCCTCCCAAAGTGCTGGGATTACAGGCATGAGCCACCATGCCCAGCCAAGTGTTGTTTATTTTTTTTCAGACTTACCAAAGTATCTCTCAGTGTGACTTTTACTCTGGTTTTAAGTTTTTATGGCATACCTGTATTTCTCTCTGGGTAACTGGCTCAATTCAAGCAAAGCATGCTTTCATCTCCACTGAGGGCTGCTTTGATTGAGCTTTAGCGTTGCCAGGTAAGGACCAGCTGATGTACTAAGAGCCTACTGGATATTATTTTTTATATATATATGGTTTCCTTTTTAAATTCTGTGCTCTATTCTTCCATTATTAAAAATAGCTGGCAGAACAACCTACCAAAGCCTCTTTCTACCCTGGGGTGTCTGAGTGACATGGCCTCATTATTCTCTCTTACCATGATATTTTGCTTACAATGAACAATTTAGTTGGTAGTTGTTTATTTTCCTTTTGCTTAAGTTTCACTTATGTGCCATACTGCTTCTTTGCTGAATGATTAAAGATACTAGTATTTCTAAAACTGTCTAGCACATGATTATCATTTCCTGGATGACTTTGCTTCTAGAGCCCCCAAAGGGGAAAGGCCTAAAGGGAAGTATTTGTGTTATGCCCTAGGCCCTAATGGAAAACTTTCAGAGTAAGGTAAGGGGAAGGAATTTTCCTTTCTAAACCCTCAAGAACCTCTGAAATAAAAATAACTCCAAATGTAGTCATGTACCTTTTGGATTTTTACTTTATCTCATTTCATCTTTTTGACCACTCCATGAGGCATTATTCTTATTCTTAATTTTCAGTTGGGAAACTAAGAAGTTAACTACCTCGTCAATCATATAATTGATTCAAAATGAAACCGGTGCACTGGCTAACACCTGTAATTCCAGCACTTTGGGAGGCCAAGGCAGGTGGATCACCTGAGGTCAGGAGTTTGAGACCACCCTGGCCAAGATGGCAAAACCTCGTCTCTACTAAAAATACAAAAATTAGCTGGGTGTGGTGGCACACGCCTATAATCTCAGCTACTTGGGAGGCTGAGGCAGGAGAATCTCTGGAACCCCTGAGGCAGAGGTTGCAGTGAGCTGAGATTGTGCCATTGCACTCCAGCCTGGGCGACAAGATCAAGTGACACTCCATCTCAAAAAAAAAAGGAAAAGAAAAAAAAACTGGTGCACAAAATCCAGAGTTTTTTTACTCCTAGTCTAGTTTTCTTTGTTTTGTTTTCCTGTGTGTTGTATTATTTTCTCCTCATGACTTGTGGATTAACTTCAAATCATGATGGTAATCTCTCCTTCAGAGGCAGCCCAGACATAAGTAACCTCCCAGGATAAAGACCAGAAGATTCTTCACCTTCAATTACAAATATTTTTTGTGTGAATGCTATATGCCAGGTGGTGTTCTAAATGCTTGGAGTCAGTGAACAAAACAAGAAAAAATATTTCTGCCCTCATGGATCTTATAGCTTAGTGAGAAGAAAAACAATAAACATAATAAATATGTAAAATCTATACTATGTTAGAAGGCAAAAGCACCACAGAAAAAAGAAAAAGTAGAACATGGTGGGAGAATTGAGCACTGGATTTTAATTTGAAATAGATTAAGCTGCAAGCCTTATTAAGAATATGATGGGCCAGGTGCAGTGGCTCATGCCTATAATCCCAGCACTTTGGGAGGCCAAGATGGGCAAATCACCTAAGGTCGGGAGTTCAAGACCAGCCTGGCCAACATAATGAAACCATGTTTCTAGTAAAAATACAAAAGAAAATTAGCTGGGTGTGGTGGCAGGTGCCTGTAATCCCAGCTACTCAGAAGGCTGAGACAAGAGGATCGCTTGAACCCAGGAGGCGGAGGTTGCAGTGAGCTGAGATTGTGTCATTGCACTCCGGCCTGGGCAACTGGGCAACAAGAGCAAAACTCTGTCTCCAAAAAAAAAAAAAAAAATGGAATATAATGTTTGAGACCATGCATGGTGGCTCACACCTATAATCCCAGCATTTTGGGAGGCCAAGGTGGGATGATTGCTTAAGCCCAGGAGTTTGAGACCAGCCTAGGCAACATAGTGAGACCTCATCTTTACAAAAAATAAAAAAACAAAATTAGCTGGGTGTGGTGGCTTGGCACCTGTAGTACCAGCTATTTGGGAGGCTGAGGCAGGAGAGTCACTTGAGCCTCGGAGGCAGAGGTTGCAGTGAGCCAAAATAGTGCCGCTGCACATCAGCCTGGGTGACAGAGTGAGACCCTGACTCCAGAAAAAAAATTTTTTTTTTTTAAAGATGATGTTTGAGGCAGACTTGAAGGAATTTGCCATGTGGATTTTTAGTGAATAGCATTTCAAGAAGAGAGAAAGACCTGTAGGGCAGGAGTGTGCCTAGTCTGAGGAACAACAAGGAGGCCAGTGTGCTTGGAGTAGAATGAGCATAGGGACAAGGAAGAGTGGAAGATGAGGTCAGAGGGGTAACAGGACAGATCTTAGTGGGCCTCATAGTCCATTGTAAGAACT